CGCGGCCGGCGATGCTGCCGATGTTGATGATGTCGCCGCCGCCGCCCTCAGGGCGCGCCTTGAAGATGGGGAGCACGGCCTGCGTCATGTTGATGAGGCCCGTGACGTTGGTCTGGAACATGGCATTGATGTCCTCCTCGGCGATGTTGGGCGCCTGGGCGACTGCGGGGGTGCGTGTCAGTGGTTCACGAGGGCTTCATGCCCGCCCCCTTGCACAGACATGTGAGAGCCGGGGGAAACCCACCTCCCTTCACCAAACCCCTAAGTCTCACCGTCAACATAACCATCCCTCATTCCCCAAGAGAAGAAACTCACGCATTGTTCACCAACACATTGATATCCCTCCACTCCTCGGGCAAGCCGGGGACAAAGGCCCTCACCTCCTCGGGGTTGCTCACGTCGAGCCTGACGGGCAGCACCTTGACGCCATCGCCGACGGCCTCGCGGATCTTGACGGCCAGCTCCTCGAGCACGTCGAGACGACGGGCCGTCAGGATCAGACGCAGGTTGTCGGGGGCGGTGCGCGCAAACTCAAAGGCGGTGCTGCGGCCGATGCCGGACGAGGCGCCCGTGATGACAATCGTCTTGCCCGAGAGCCGCTTAGCAACGGCCGACATGGTTCTGGTTCTGGCGAGGCCTGTGGAGAAGGAGAATAGCGATCTGGGGAATGGGAATGGTGGAATCCGCAGAGGGGCCCCAGGGGCTGTGAGTCTGGATGAAATTCGTATTCTTGCGAGGGAGAGCATGAGACAGTGTTAATGTGTGTACCTTGCATGAATGGGATAGAGGAAAAGAGCTGACGCCATACGTCCGTGATCCACCGGGACAAGCCGCTGAGAGGGCCGCTTGGTCGGTCCCTGGACTCGGCCCCGCACAGCGCGCGGGACAGGACCTTACCCCGCATCGCGCCATATTTAGCGGCCATCAAAGGCCGACTGCCGCGCATCGGAGACAAGCAAGGTAACTTGTACCCAAGCCAAGGTAGGTATTGTAACATGAATATCTATTAGGTATTGGCCAATGTCCAAGTTGATGATTTCCCCTCGACTCCAGAGATGCACCCTTCTCTCCAATGCTGCAGTAACAAGACTCCTGATCTTGTACGCCGTATACCGAGCCCGGTTCCCGTCTAATGACCCTGCCCCTGTAACCGTACCCAACCGAGAAAGAAAAGAATGAGATAAGGGGGATGTTGTCCAACCCCTGAGCACCATTCGCACTCCATTTTACACTCCGAACTTAGCGTCTCCCTGAGCCTTTGATGCCTCGACCTCCGCTCTCCTCTGCGCCTCAATATCATACCGCTCCTTCAGCTGTTCCTGGAGCGGTAGACGGTTCCGGCGCCATACACCAGCAGCGCACAGCACGCCGACAGCCACCACCGCGCAGCACACAATCATGTCCTCATGCAGCGCGTCTGTGTATGCCGTCCGGATGGCCGCCTGAAGTTCAGGCGAAAGCACCCCGACCCCCGAGCCCGAGTGGCTCAGTTGCTCCGCGCCCGCAGACCCCGAAGATCGGATCTTGGTGCCCAGCACGGCTGATGAAGCAGCAATCCCAATGCTGCCCCCCAGGATTCGCACCTGCGAGATAAGGCCCTGGGCAGATGCTAGTACAGTTGCCATGTTAGTCCATGTTCAACCCACACGACTGCCAGCTAAACATACCGTGTTCCCGAATTGGCGACTCCATGATACCTGACATCGTAGAGGCCGTGGCCGAGAGCCCAAAGCCCAGGCCGATAAATGCCAGAAACCCCAAAACCCTCGGCTCGACCGCGTCCGTCGATGTAGCGGTGGTCTCGGCCGCACAGCCAATAACCATGAAGATTCCCGCCACCATCAGCGTCTCGGCGAGCATGTTCTTCTTATTGTTGATGACCCCACCCACCATACTGCCAATCGCCGTTGCAGCCAGCATGGGGAGCAGCATAAGCCCCGCGTCGAGCGGGCTCTTCCCGTTGACGATCTGGAACCGGATGGGAAACACGTAGATGGCGACGAAGTAGGGGAAGCCCATCAGGATCGTGTTCAGCACCGTCGCCGTGAATGCGCGGTTTCGGAGGAGTACCAGCGGGATGGTCGCCGCGATCTTGCCCGGCCACCTGCGCTCGAGGTATACCTGCCAGGCGAAAAGGGCAGCGAGACTAGCCAGGCCGGATAGCAGGGGCGCCAAGAAGATGGCTTCCGACCACCGACCGTCCGTGCTGGCATTTTGAAAGGGGAAAACTATCAGGACCGCTGCCGCTACGCTGTTTGCCCGAGTGGTCAGCATTGTGTGTGCCCCGTCTCCAAAGGCAACTTTGGGGGTTGGCAAGCCCGGGGATGCTCACAGCAAGAATGCGCCCGGGAAATCAAGCTCCTTCCACTTCCTTCGTTGGAGCGATGGAAGATACTTCTCGTCAGGCCATGCAAAGAGGAATATGAGAGCCGCCGTCCCGCCGATTGGACCGTTGATCCAAAAGACCCATCTCCATGTCGCGTACTGGGTTAGAATGCCGCCGAGAAGCGGCCCCAGCACACCCGAGACAGCAAGGACGATGCCAATGATGCCAGCGACATACTGCTGGTACTTGTCTGGTGTGATCTCGGGGAATATAATCATAGTAAGACTATACAAACCTGCATCCGCGTCAGCTGAGAAACACACATCGGGCCGCAACGAGCAACATACCAGATCCGCCGATTCCCTGAAGTGCCCTGAAGGCGATGAGCTGGTTTAGACTCTGCGCGAAGCCGCAGGCAAGAGAGAAGGCAACAAATATGAAGTAGGCGGCGAGATATGCCGCCCTCCGGCCGACAACATCCGAGATGCGAGCGAAAAGGACGACACAGCTGAGGTTGGACAGGGTGTAGGCCAAGGCCACCCAGTTGATGGTTTCTATCTCGTGGAACTCGATGGCAATGGCGTACATGCTTGTGGCTACAATGGACGAGTCCAGCACCGCAAGGAAGAAGCCAAAGGCAAGGCTAGATCGGGGTCCCGCTTCGTCAGTCTTACCCATGTGGACCAGCTACCCCCCTTTCCAATATGTGACTTACGCTGTTCCCAGCAGGATGTACCGCAGTTGGGGTAGAGACGGCCGCAACAGTTCCCCTTCACTACTAGAGCTATCAATGGCTGTCTTATTGCCCTTCTCGCCCTCTTCAGCAGGGCGAGCAGACGACAAATCCTTTTCTGATGTCATTTGTAAGATGTCTGATGAGTCTGTTGCTGTGTGGTGGTCCTGCTCTTTGAGCGTGCCGATGGTGTCCATGGCAAAATAGCCCGGCGCACAGGAAGCCACAGAGAATTCGCGACGGTTGGCAGAGGTGGAACTCGGTATACTTCATGTGTGGCTGCGAGGCAAAAGTATGAATGATATCAATGATGTACTGCCCGAGGTGAAATCACACAGCTTATAAGGCGACATCAGGAGTGGATTATTCTGCGGAAGGGTGAAGAGTGATGAGATATCAACGCGCAGTCAATGCAATGCCATGCCCCCGTTCCGCTGCCGGTAACAAGCAAGACGGAGCAATTGACAGATAGATGGTCCAAGTGGTCGTGTTTTCACGGCCGTCTCGCACTCGCACCCGGCATATATCGGCCTAACGCAACGAGAACAAGCTCGTGGCGTGCGTGTGTCAAGAAGTAAGTAAGGTAGGTACGGCCGAAAAAAGAGGCAGGAAGGACAATTAGAGCTACCGCAAGACGACCCGGCGCGTCGCCTTCATATTGCCCATAACGCCCTCCCACAACGCCCTGAACTTGGGCCAGTGGTCCGAACATGGTCGCAATGGCCGCAGCGGTCGCAGGAAAAGCGGGATAACGATGGCGCCGTTGGGTGCTTGGAAGTTGCACCGTGGCCCAAAGCGGCGCCGACATGGGCACGGAATAGGAATGGACCTCGGGACCTGCGACTAGCCCAGCGTGGACCAGGCAAGTGCCGGCAAGCCGGGATCCGAGCAGCGACGAGAAATCCCAACGTGTAACGGCTATCAGCCGGCACTGACCTCTGCTGTGTTGACGTGCCATTCATTCGCAACTTTGGGCATTCTGGACAGTTCGCCTGCTGATGATTGGGTCTTTGGGTCGTTGGGTGTTGAGACGTGGCTGCAACTCGCACTCGCATTGCAGGGCATCCACAGCCGCTCGCCAGTTTGACACTTCCAAACATGCTCTTGGCAGGTGCGCCAACACCCACATCTCGCACTCGCTAAGGTAACGCCCGATTGGAATCTAAGTTGTTTTAGTGGCCATCAAACAAGCGACCGAAGGCATGATTGGCCCTTGCTTCAACCATCGGCCGTAAGGTCTGGGTGGAAATTCCCTCTTGATCCTCCCTTTGCTGTTCAGATGGCCAAAGCCGCAATCATGGGTTTGTCGTATTGGTCGTGTCGCCCTTTCTTTGAGCACTCCCGCCTCGACTGTGCATATTCCGGCATACGTCATTCGCATTCGCCTACCGTGTACTGTGGTCCTTAGTAATATCTACCATCTGCAGCAGCCTGGATCATGGGACCAAGGTATGTTGGATATGTCAATCCGTGCACGAGAAATAAAGTTGGCAGGAGCACAAAAATCATCCCGAGTCCCACGGCGTAGCTTGGGATTTTTACACACCGCGACCGGCCGGATCATTGGCTTCCATTGTTCCACTGCTTTTTCCCACGACCCGGGCGCTCGGATTTCTTCACTCACCCTCTCGCCACCAGTCTTCAACCCAATGACAACACCATCACACATTGGGGCATGAAACAGTCGATTTAGCTCCCCGGTGGGATAAGGTAAATTTCCCACCCAAGATAGGAGGTACCTAGGCGGGGGCGCTCGACCTTGAAGCTCCAGGTCCACTCTTCGAATCGTGTATATCCGCAGCTGGGATATCCCCGAGTTCCTTGCCCCTGGCAGCCACATCAACTCCGCAGCACTCCTCTCCCAAGCCCATCAACTCCACAACACTGCTCCTCGAAGCCCATCGGCTCAAGCAACAGACAGAAGAGTATACAAAGCGACAAGGCAACGTAGCCGAGCTGTTACGGCGCCACGTTAGGTTTAACCCTTGATACAATCTCTCGGTTCCGTGGTCCTAAGGGGCGTGAGTTCAAATCTCACCGTTATCAAGCATATACTTTTGCCGGCCAGCACCTGTTGGCTCAATATTCCCGCATTAATATTCTCTTACTATTTTGCCCAAGGATACTAGCAGGGTGGCATGCGGATGCATGGCTTCACGGCATCGGGCCATGTCTTGCCTCTGTTTATTGGTCATTATGATCTGATATCAAGGTACCAGCTAGCAATAGAGCATGCCGGCTAAGGTAGGTTGAGTACCATGGTGGTTAGCAGCAGTGGACAACATCTGTGGTTAGAAGGCAGTGAGAACTCAGACGTTAGTACAAGAATACAAGGAGACGACGGCCATCGTGCACGGAGATAATAATTCCCCGAATAGCTTCTGAGCTGTTAGTGCCACTTGTAGGAGCCGTCGTACGACTCTAGTGTAACTCCCAGTTGGCACAGGGCATGCATCGCCCACACTTGCTAAATCCATACCTTTTTCGGTTCCATGGCTCGAGTGCGCTTAGGAACTAGAGCCCAAAGAAAGCGAAAAGAAGAGGTGCGAGCAAGGCAAAAAGTAATACTTGTAGCTGCGGTTGGTTTCGATCCAACGACCTCCGGGTTATGAGCCCGGCGCGCTTCCACTGCGCCACGCAGCTTATTGTCCTGTTTGATGGAAAGCTCCTCCCAGTATTCTGCCTCTATCATAGTTTGCCCGTGCCGGAAGTGGATATGTCTCATTTTTTTGTCTCTTGGCTGCCTGGAATGACTCACTTCATTGTTCAGGGGTGAACACTTTGACACTGTGACCGCTTAACGGGCTCTCCACTGACAGCAAAGCCAGGTAAAAGAGAATCCCGAGTTCGATATGGCAGGTGACAGAGTATTGAGTAGATCTTGGTATATACCAATATGAGTGATAGGGTTCAGGGGCAATGATGACTTACTGACATGGCGAGTGTTTACTCTGTAAAGCCGCACATTGCCTGCCCCTAGCATATAACATGAATGTGAAGTGGCAAAGACTCAGAATTGTTAGATCCTGAATTCAATATTGCTGGAATCTGTGGGGTTTTAACAACTTGACCTAAAGAACCAGGTGACCATCACCAGGTTAGCGAAATTCTCACAGCACGTCCTATTTGGTTTTCCGTATGCCGCCCCTACATTGGTATTCGTCGATAGAGAAGCTTGGTCATCTCGAATGGTAGCCAGGGGCACGTCACCAGTCCTCAACGCGAGCGAACCTCCAGCCTACTCGCGGCGACAAAACAGGTTCGTCCGTCGTCACCACTAACCTACTGTGGAAGCGCTTCTCCATTCCACACCAAAATTATCGTGTTTCAGGCACACAGTAGTGCCATCACCATCACTTCTTAAGTTGCCCAGATATCACCAAGAAAACACCGTTTTGGCGGACTATTGTTTCCTTTGGCACCGTTTTTTCTTTCTCTTTCCAGCCCCCATCTCCTCTCCCGGAATCTACAGGGCCCATCCCTCTCGTGAACAGAAGAGTGCGGCTGGAGTGAGGTTTCAAGTGAGGCTTAGCTTTTTGTCGCCTTGCCCAAGTAGGCAGGTAGGTTGTTCTGCAAGCCGCTCGATGCAGAGTGGTGGGTTGACAGAAAGAGAAGCGCCGTCTCTGGAAACAGCAACTAGCGCGGCCGGCTAGAACAAGAAAACAGAGCTCTTGGGACCACGCACGAGTAGAAGGATGGAGTCCCGTACTGCAATAGCACGCTGCAATAGCGGGCGGGAAACCCGCATGATGAGCTCTGTTGGGTCGGCATGCCGCACACCTCACGGCGTGATCTGCACGGACTTAATAGGAGCTGTACAGGTTTTGTTTGTAACAAAATTGTAAGCCGGGTTGTGATGTGAGGTGGGTGATGGACTGGGAGAGAAGTAAAGAGGTAAAAAAGGTGATCATGTCTGTGCCTTGCAGCTGCACTTGCAGATTTCCGGGATGCATCAACAAACACGGGGTATGGTAGGCTAGTGGCTGACGAGAGGTGCAGTTGGAGACCTGAAACATGTTTCAGGAGTCTGAAAAATAGAGAAGGCTTGCCGTGTGGTTGGGCTGAGGAGAAGCCGTGAAGTGCGGAGAGCGGAGGGCAGAGGGAGGGCGGAGAAGGTCCGGGTGTTCGCTATGCCTCCCGGTGGTTTTTGAAGAAGCGGGGGAGCCTGGATCTGCCGACTCCCTTTTGAACTTCAACCTTCATGTGCAGGCAGCTGGCCCTGGAGTTTGTGGTATTCGAGTTCCCCAACTGACCAGTAATTGAGGCAACGGTCGCGAATACTTGCATGGCGATAAGATCTCTAGGCAAACGCGGGGTTTGGAGTGCCACGGGGTATTCGGTTTGTCGTGTCCACGATACCGCAGTGGTTTATCATTGACATCAACCCAATTCGGAGCCCATGGTGTCTGTCTCCGGCATACCAGCGGGACACCTCCGTGGACGCGGCCCATGAGTTTCGGGCATGGAGCCGATCTTGACCAAGGAAGTGGTACAGATGGGGCTCAGATGCTTAACAAAACCATATTTCGGGACTCAAATCCCTGGAAACCAGGCAAAAAAAAAAGAGTACATGTCGGAGAGATGGTGTACAACCACAGTACAAAGCCCAGATCTCGAGGCGGCGCCGTAACACAGTCGAACATGGTTATGGTCGAAAAGGCTTGCAGTTGACATGCTTATCTCTACACTCGAACTAGGTCCTGGAAACCAAACATTCAGATCTCCTGTCACCGTCGGGACTTCATGCCGTCTGCGGAGCCTACAAGGGAGTGCGTGCCCCCCGGTCGTGACGGTGTTTTTGCCGGCAGTAAAGTACACCTGCCGATGTGACTGCCGGACATCATGGCAGCTCTGGTTCGTGGCGTCGAATGCTTGAAGCTGGATGTGAGGGTGGGATGTGATGTGATGGCGAGATGCGTCTGAGCGTCCGTTGCAAGTCCCGCATCGCCCGCATCGCCCGCATCGCGGCGGCAATGTGGGCAGGATGCCGAACCCACACACGTGTGATCCGCAAAGGGATGCGCTGAGGATGCGCTGCTGCAGGGCAGACCGAAAAGAGACAGCGCAGCCAAACTCAACGGGAGCCAGAGGGAAGGAAGCGCAGCGGGTGTGACAGCTTCATCGGGTCGACCCCGTATCCCGAACATACTCCTTCCCCGCATTCTGCACCAAGAATCTGAAGTGAGAGACTGAGAAGCTACAGACAGCACAGAAGAGCTCCATCTCCCCGTGGGACCACCGTCGCTAAGACGGCACCCTATCAGCCACCTTGGGTCGCAATATAACGAAGGACCATGGAATGTTCCTCTTCATTTATTTTGACGTCTGGTGCCACCTCCTGCCATGCTGACCTTAAAAGGCAGGTGGTGTCAGCGTCCTTCTCACCGTCGGCTGGTTGAGATGGGTCCCCTCGACCATCCACCACTCGCCATCGCCCTCCTTCACAAGCCCCACCACCCCCTCCCACACCACACCACACCACACCACACCCACCACACCACAGCTGTGCAGTGCCCTCCCCGCATCTCCACGTTTTTGTGTCTCTCTGTGAACCCCTGTCAGAACCTTCCCCGCACACCAGCAGAATCTCAGATTTGCCCGACAGGGGTCTCTCCAACAGGTACCCTGTACCATGCCATTCGGCATGCCCGAGGAGCACTTGCCCCTGTCCATGGAGTGACTAGAACTCGAGACATGGCGGGCCGAAACTCCAGATTGCGGGCGGCTTCGACGCGACCAGCCGCCAGATTCACCCAACCAATTGCGCCCGCCCGTTCAAGCCCCAACGTCCACTTTGGGCAACCGTTTTCTGCACTGGCAGCGCACCATCTCCAACGCTTTCTTTCTTTTTTCTCACGCCTTCTTTTGACGTCGCTTGTCCATGACCCACTACGAGCTCGCTCGAAGCGGAATGCCCTCGGAGACAGGCTGCTAAACTAAGGGATGGGATATGCAATGGACGGCTTCAATGCGCTGCTACTGTTGTTTTTTCTCCTGACCGATGCGCCTGGGCTCGTCCATCCGCCAATTCGGCTGCTCATGTAGATGTCAGAGCCAGGCGGTCAGACGGCTATCTCGATGATGACCCCCTGGACATCTTACCCCCATATGATTTTGCGGAGAGTTCTCTCTCCCCGATCATCTCGGCGGCCAGAAAGCCAGCAAGCCTTGTCTCTTCAATTAATCCTCCCCGGGGCAGTCTCACGCATTCTGGGCGCTTTGGCGGATCGGCCCTCATATCCTCGTCCCCGTTTCTATCCGTGATGCATGCCATCGTCCGGACACTCGACTCGTCGCATTTCTCTCATCCCCTCCACCCCTTCCTCCTCTATAGCACTCCATCAATGTAATGAGCCTTGCCAGCCCAGACACCCAACCTACCTTACGTACACGAGCATAACCCGAGTTTCCCCACCAAACCACCATCGGCACTTTCTTCTAGCCCGCGGCGCATCTCACGGCGCAGCACGGCGCGGTGCCGGAAAGGCAAAAAAGGCACTGCAAGCACTTGCAGATGTTGGCAGATTTTGCAAATGTTGCATCTGGGCAGTGCCGGTTGGCTGGTAGGTTACGTCCATCTGAGATAGCTGCCGACTTTCTCCAAGTCCCGGCATGGCCATCCCGGCTCGTGTTCCCATCCTCGCCGATCCCTCCCCCCTCCCATTTTTTCCATTCCTCCACCAATTTCTGTATCTCGACAGTACACTTGCCTGCCGCTGGCCGACAGACAATTGACGCACCCACACAGCATGCAGGCGCGCTCACACGCACACACACACACACACACACACGCACACACTTGAATATATGCACACATGGCAGAAGGAAATAATCCCCCATGTGCAGCAGGATAAGATGAGCAGCCAGGGAGCCAAGCGCTCGGCTTTTTGGCATTTTGGATCATCGCCTTTCTTCCTTCTGCTAAATGGCATTTGCCCAGCCCGATCCCACGTATCACATGCATCGTACCCCATCGAGTCTGCGCGTCGTCATCTAGAAGAATTCGTGAACGCTTCCATTTTTTCATATAGCCTCCCATATAATCC